TCTCGACTGCACCTTCGACCTCACTTCGCCTCTTCTCTTCTTTGATGATGGTCGCTTCTTTCCTCTGGTGACATTTGAGCCATTTTAATTCTACATGCCACCACCTCGTCAGACTGACGCGATTTCCTTTATTCCTCACACGCCAGACCTTTCGTGGAAGAGAATGTGATTGTCAAATTGTCAAACCTGCATGGCTGCGCTACAATCAACCTATTTGTCTGTAACAGAAAAGGTTTTCAGTTCATCTTGAATAGCAATTCCATTTAGCCTCGATCAAGCAATTTTATGCGAAACTGATGCTCGAATGTCATTACACTACCCACATCTTATACTCTTCCAGACTATGGCGAGCTGGACTTTGTTGAGCTTACTTCCATTTCGAGTGAAAATGTCGCGTGAAGAGATTCGAAGGTCGGTTCCACCAAAAGACAACATCGGATTCCTCTTGACCAGCTGTCGATTGGCTTTACTGGAACATTCATGCTGACGCTGTTTCCGAGGTTGATCTGCTTTGATTTCGATGAAAAGATGCTAAGCTCTCGTCCGTCATGTGACGAACATGATCAGAGCATCGAAGGTATCATCGTCACAACCAAATTCAAGCTAAAGAGTCAAGACATCTCAATTTAATAGTGCCATGTAGGAGGCTCTATTTAAAAGTGAAAACTAGTAAGAAGTATAAGAGAAAGATTATTATTTAATTAATACTATTACTATTACTACTACTACTACCGGATTTGCTGGAGAGTTTTCTTGACTCGTTAGCTTGAATTTTGTTGTGACGATGTTAACTCGCTCTGATGATATCCGTCATATGACGGACGAAAGTTTAGCACCTTTTCACCGGAATCGAAGCAGATCAACCTCGAAAACAGCGTCGGCATGACTCTTCCAGTAAAGCCAATCGACAATTGGACAAGAGGAATCGGCCGTCGTCTTCTGGTGAAACCGACCTTCGAATCTCTTCACCCAACACTTCCACTCGAAAAAGAAGTAAGCTACAGCAATTGTGGAACAAGAGCTTCCTCGAAACCGAACTTTTCTTCGCATATATTACGATTGGACTTTAATATGAACTCTTCGTGCTTGATTCCAGCTGAGAATGTTGATGTGACTAGTTCGGACGGAGTAGAAAATGTAATCCAGTTCAATTCGGTTAAGTTGGAATCACGAATAAGCATAAAAGTAAATGGAGATTTGAGGAATAATCATGTGAAATTGTGATAAACTCCAATTGCCGAGGCTGCCCAGACCTGAATTCTCGTTTAATGTTTACATTCCGTCAAGCTCAAATGCCTTTTGAAGAGGCGAAATGCCCAAGACAGTAGCACCCTTCTCTTTCCTGCCTTCAGAAGGCGGCTCCAATTCCGGAAGGCTCTCTTCTCAAGTCTGCTCAAGTGGACGATTTGAGTGAGCACGAATTCTTGACGCAACAGCTGTTCACATTCCTCCCTTTGAGCAGACCGCCGCTCCAAGCCCCGGCCGTCGGATCTGTATTAAAGGCTCCAAGCATCACTTGGTCGCTATCAGACCTGTAGGGCTGAGTACGCGAAACCTCTGTCTAGCAACACATGCCACCAACTGAACAGCAAATACTGCGCCCCAACTACAGTCGACTGCCTCCCCGATCCGGTGCCGGAAACAAAAAGAGCTCCAAACGGCCAGAGAGCCCCGAGAGCCCCAATAAACATCAAAGCCCGAAGAGATCGGTTGGCTCCGCCAACTCCGCAAACCTCAAGACCCTCTAGAGCCACGTTAGCCTCTTTAACCATAAGACCCACGAGAGTACTGAAATCACGAAGAGTTTCACTGTTAGGAGTCACCGTTTGACCAGTCACGGCTGTCAGGACGACTGGGCATGGCAAAGAATGGACTATGAGATGTATTCACCCAATTTTGTTTAAGGTTCTGAAGGACTGGAAGAAGAAGAATTTTCCCACAATCATATAAGTTGAGCTGACGTTTCCCTTCAATTTCACATTGCCTTGCTTTCCCAAAAGCTGTTCTCATTCAGGCACCAGTGGACTGCAGTTTCGACCTCGCATCGGTCTTATCAACACCCTCAGCGGGA